GTGGTGCATGCACGCGGGCGTGTCGCAGGTCTAGAGGCTGACACCAGCACCAAGATCGGCCGTGTGCCTCCACCGAGGGAAGAAGGTCCCGATCTCGGTGAGGGTGGTAATATTCTGGCTTCCAAGGTGGCCGAAATATTTCCACCAGCACCGAGATCTAGGATCGTCGTCCCCCTGTGGAGGCACCCCCCTGTGTTGGTGTTGGTGCCCATGTCCAGGCCTCCAAGCGTGGTGCGTGGGGGGGGGGCCTTAGACTTCAGGAGGCCGTGCCAGATAGCACTTGGCACGCTTCCAGACGTCCACGTGCCGGGGGGGCACGGAGGCGCATATATCGAAATCGTGCCAGACTCACCGGCGTTACTTAGCAGCACGAATGGAAGCAGCGCAGCCGAAGATCTAACGACCGATTGGTCGATCAAGCGATCCGAGTGGCGGCTCAAGAATGATGCGATGAAGGATCGTCTTCGCCATCCCGCTTGTCACCACCCACCAAACCACCCCAACCCAACCCGAAGGCTCGAATTTACAGTCGATTTCTAGTGGGGGGGGTCGGGAAACATCGAAAAAACACACGTGGAACTCTTACCCCCCCCAACCCGAAATTCGGGTCTTCGGGTGGGGTTGTGGTGGTCTGGTAGGCAGTCAGCTTGCGTCAGTGATAGCATGTTCCAGCGAGTTGGAGTCCTGGCGTCCTGTGTATAGGTCTTCGGGGCTCTTCTTCGTCCGTGCACACGTGCACCGGCCTCCATCGGCACCGGGCACCGGCGAAGGCGGGCCCGCCCCTCTGCAGGAGGAAGATTCGAACACGGTCCAAAAATAGTTTGGGGACTCTTTTTGGAGTATTTTGTTTTTGCCATTTGGGAGCATGTCGTGCGTATTTTGTAATCTTCGTCGGAACTCCCCCTGTAGGGCGACACGCCCGGGTTAAATCTAGCTTTTCGAGCGGGGGAGGCTGGAGGTGCCTTGGGGCCCATGCCGGTCGGGGAGGGGGAGGGGGCCGCGAACCCGGATGCATGGACCAGGGGTGGACCCAAACGGGGTTTTGGCGATTTCGTGGGTCGTTTTCGTTTCGATTTCGTTCTGCGGTAAAGGCGGATTGGAGACGAAACGAGGGAAAAACGAGAACAAAACAAAAACGACAAAACACCGTTTAGGTTCAGCCCTGACCTGGACCATGCGCGCTCCGAGTCCGAGCGGGATGCCTGCGGGCATCGAAGGGCCCAGGACTCCGACGGCTTGTCCTTCCGCCAAGTGCAAGCCCCGGACCGGTGTCTCCAGCACGAGATGCCATCGGTGACCGTTGGGACAGAGATCCGCGACCTCGGGGTCATCGCGGTCGCCGGCCGCCGGCGCAAGCACCCGGTGTCCGCAGCGCGGGTGAAGTTGGTTTGCGGTCGGTTTGCCCGGCTCCGCCGCCTGCCCGTCCTTCTCCGGTGGCGGTGTCTGATGGGGGCTGCCGCTGGCACTGCCGCGGGTACCTACGGGTCGTCCTGCGATCGCCCCACCCCGGGAAAGCTCGAGCAGCTCTCCGCCGCGCCGCCATGGCTGTCACAGGCCACGGGCCCCGCGCGGCGGCTGAAATCATGTTCGGCGTCGTCAGCCCCTCGTGGCGCCTGGACCCGAGGACGGTAGCGTGCGTCGCGCCAGTGCTGCAGGCTGCGCGGGCGCTCCGGGCAGGCCAGCTCGACCTCGCCCCGTGGCGCCACACGGCTGCCGCAGTCATCGCTGGAGCTGCTCGCGCCGTTGGCCCCGTGGCAGCCGCGCTGCGCAGCTTGCGGGAGTTCGGGCTGGGCGATGGCATGGAGCGCTGGGTCCGCGTGCCGGCGGCGCCGCACGGCTGGCGCCCGGCGGAGCACCCGAGGCGATCCATTGAGCGCGTGCTCGTGGTGGCAGTGTGGAGCTGGGCCGAGTGTCGCAAGGTCGCTTCGCGACGGCCGCGCTTCACCTGGCACGCGGCGTAGACAGGTGGGCCACCCGCCGCCTGCTCGCCGCCGACGAGCTCACGCCCGCGGCCGCTGGGGCGCTGCGCGGCGTCTTGTGCGGCAGCGCCGTGGCCCAGGCCATCGCGGCGAAGTGGGGGGGGCGACGCGGGCTTGTGCCCGCAGTGCGGGCTGGCCACCGTGGACCACGAACCACGAACCCAGGTTCTGGTTGTGCCCGGCGTGGGAGGGCCCGCGCCGCGCCGCGCTTGCTGCCTCGCCGCGGCCGGACGGGATGCCTAGGGACGCCCGGGCTTTGCGGGGGCTGCTGCCAGCGGGGATCGCCTTGACAGGGGTTCTGGCGATGCCGCCGCTCCTTGCTGCCCTCGCAGAGGCGGCTGGGCGCGAGGCCTCGCAGCCGCCAGCCCAGGCGGCGCTGCTCCCAGGAACGCCCCGCCGTACAATGTGGAGCGACGGGGCATGCCTCCACACCGTTGACCCGCTGCTGGCGCAAGCGGCTTGGGGCCTCCGGGCCGAGGGCCTGGCAGTCCTAAACCTCGCCGGGCCGGTCGACGGGCTGCAGACGGCGCAGAGGGCCGAGGTGACAGCTGCGGTGGCGGCGGCTCGCGTAGTGGGCGGCCCGGTCGACCTTGCCTCGGACAGCCAGTACGTGATGCGGGGGTGCGCCAAGATCGAGGCTGGCGCCGAACCGCGGGATTGGAGCACGCAGACCCTTTGGCACTCGCTGGTGGACGCCGCGCGCAGCGGACGGCTCCGGGCCAGCCTGGTGCCAGCCCACAAGGCGCCAGCGGAGGCGCGCCGCCTGGGGGTGAGGGAGCGGGACCGCCTCGGCAACGCGGCGGTCGACGGCAACGCTGGCGCGGCAGCGGCCAGCAGGGCGCCGCCGCCAGACGTGGTGCGCGCCCGCTGCCAGGAGCTGGTGCTGCTGGAGGCCGCGCAGCGCGTTATGGCCGCCGCGCAGCAGGCCGCCCTCGCAGCGGCGCCGCCTGCCGCGCGCCGCCGCCAGCGCGACTGGCGCAGGGTTCGCGGCGGCGCCCGGGACCGCGCTGCGTACGCCCCGGCGGCCGACGCCCGCGCTGGCCAGGCGACGCCAGCGCCGACCTGCCCGCGCCAGAGCGGCGCTGATGCACCCGTCAGCAGTGGGGACATGCTGGCCGCGTTTTTCGCCTGGCGTTCTTGGTGGCTGCACGCCTTTGCGCGCGGGCCCGGCCACGTCTTCTGCCTCCGCTGCGGTGGCAGTGCGGCGTCGGCAGCATAGGTCTGCTGGGGAGCGCGTGCCCAGGCTGGCGGCAGCGTCTGCCTGCGCGGTGCCAGGCGGTGCTGTTCCTTGGCGAATTGCCTCGCGCGGGTGGCAGCGCGGTGGCGTTTGCATGCCTGGCCGCGCAATGCATTGGGCAGCTCCCAAAGGTCCCGGGATGAGCCTTTGGGTGGGGTCGAGCGCCGCGGCTGCGCGCGTGCTCGCGTCTGCACGTCAGACAGCACCCCAGGAGATCTGGACCCCTGGGAACGGATTCTCGTCCCGTTTCGTTTCTGTTGGCGGCCCCGGGGCCTGGCGGGGTCCCCCTGGTGTCCGAAAACTGCTAAAGCAAATCGCGCTCCTTTGTGTTCGAAACGAGTGGGGGTCGGATCCCTCCGGCTATCTCGGGCGCCTCATGCGGCCGTTCGGGCGCGGCTCTGGGATCCCCAGGGCGCCCGTGACGAGGCGCAGCGGCTAGGAGCCCTCCCGCGCCCCGACGACCCTCCGAACAAACGAGCTCGAGCAGTTATATGTTTGATTGTTGTGTTTGCCTACACTCTCTTCTCTTGTTGTTTCTCTTCTCTCTCCTCTCTCTCTCTCTCTCTCTCTCTTATATATATATACACATAGATATGTCGCACTAGTTCTATCTCTCTCTCTCTCTCTCTCGCTTTGTTTCTCATCATTCCCCTCTTTTGTTCGGCCTGTTCTGATATATGGGCGACGCAACAAAAGGGGCTCGTCTTCGCCAACATCGGCGCGCGCGCTGCCCGCGTAAGGTCGCGCGTGAACGCCCTCGCTTGCAGCGCATCGTGCCGCGCCGGCGGCCCGCGTAAGCCGTCGCGAAAGGTTGCTTCGCCACCTCGCGTAAATCCCCTTCCTTTTCGTCGCTCCTATGTTTGGAGGCCCCTTCCCATTAGTTGGGGAGGTGGCGATGCCCGTCATCGGGTCTCCATACGAAAATGCAGCCGTTTTTTTTTCTAACAGCGGCCGCATGTCTTGCCATCGCGACACCAGAGCTCGTCTCGTCTCGCCTCGCCTCGCCCCTCGGTAAAATCTTCCGTCGTCGCCCTTTGTGGAGCCGGCGCCCCCTGCGTACTGCGTACGAGGCAGGCACACTGCGGCGGAGGGTGCAAACCTTGGTCGGCATCACGCCGTCAGGCATGGCGGCGACGTGGGCGATCGGCGACTGGACGCGGTCGGCGAGCTCCTCGAGGGATGTCAAGATGGCCCGAATCGCGTTCAGCCTTGAGGGTCTTGCTGCAATGCTGCAGCCCCCCGATCCGCCGACCCGCGAGTTCGTGCGAACCCCCTTGAAATGGGCGGAGCGCACGACGCCAGCGCTCGTGTCGTCTCGCTTTGCCTCGCCCCTTGCGCACGGGGACGAGGTGTTCCGCCCTCGTCTGGGCCCCCCGCGAGGAGGAAAAGGGGGAGGAGGAGGAGGAGGAGGAGGAGGAGGAGGAGGAGGAGGAGGAGGAGGAGGAGGAGGAGGTAGGGAGGAAGGAGGAGGAGGAAGGAGGAGGAGGAGGAGGAGAGGGAGGAGAGCAAAGGTAGGAGGAGGAGGGGAGGAAAAAAAGGATGAAGAGGAGGAGGAGAGAAAAGGACGAAGAGGAGAAGGAGGAGGAAGAGAAGAGGGAGGAAAAGGAGGAGGGGTTGCGAGGAGGAGGAGGAGGAGGAGGAGGAGGAGGAGGAGGAGGGGTTGGGAGGAGGAGGGGGAGGAGGAGGAGGAGGAGGAGGAGGAGGAGGATCGAGGAAGAGGAGCGGGAGGAGCAGGAGGAGGAGGAGGCCGTGGCCCTCCCGCCCCCGCCCTCGTGGCCGCCCAGATTGCGCGCCGCATCGTCGCCGACTGCCACAAGAAGTGCAGCCTGCGGCCAGACGGCGGGGCGCCCGGGGCTCGGCGACCACAAGGGATGTGGTTCATGCGGGATGACGATTAATAAAAAATGGGGGAGAACGATTCAACACATAGTTTTCTGTTATTTCTGCACAATTTTCTGACGAAGATGGAGGAGAACGATTAAAACATAGTTTTCCAGCCCGCGGCCCGTTTTTTCTTGTCGTCATCCCGGGCGCCGCCGCGTGAACACGACCCCCGGTCATTTATTAACCGTCATCCTCCATTACGCTGGGGTGCGGCTCGCGATCGGCACCGTTGGGGCCCGGAGAGCACGACGCTGTCCTCGTCGGACCTCCTCGGGGCGCGGCGGAGAGCTCCGTCGAGGTCCCCGCTCGCCCCCCGGGTTGCCCCCCCCAGGGTGCGGGGTGCAAAGCGCGCCCTCTGCAAGCCATACCCGTCGGGAGGCGCGGAGGGGCGGCCGCGGCGGGCAGTCTGCGGGGCGGCCCCGTCTTGCGGCTCTTCGGGATTGGAGGACGAAGTTTACCCTCGGAGGAGGACAGAGTACCCATACCGTTCACCCTTCGCCCGTTTTCTTCTGTTTCAGCCTCCTGTGAGGCCTTCGTCGCCACTGCTAGATTCGCTTCCAAGTTCTGGTCAGAACGCATCCCGGGAGAGGTGCAGGGAGCGGTGGTATCGGTACCTTTTGGCTCTTCTAGATTGGAGGGCGAAGTCGACCTGCTTCTGAAAGAGCAATGTCTTGGGCACATGCCAAGTGCCGTTCTCATCTGCTAGCCACAAGCGTGTGTGGGCACACCTGGGTGTTGTAGCATATAACAGACATTCGGGGTGGATGCGTCCATGGGCAACGAGGCCGTTGCGATCGGCGCAGTGCAGGGCCGGAGAACGGTTAGATCAGTTTACGGCATGTTCCTGTTCTAGAGCAGGTCCCACCTGGTATTGCAACTTCGGGGTGCGGCCAGCTTCAGAGAAAGACGAGCTACCGATACTTTCGAGCTTGACCAGCAGGCCGACCCTGCGAAATCAAGGGTACCCTTGTGCCCCGTGTTTCACGGCCGACGACTTCACACTCCTAGGGCAATTTGGCCCTCGGAAGGGCCTTGTGTCCTCTCGCGTGTCCTCTCTAATCGAACTCGACTGTACCGATGCAGATAGCCTTGACTCGTTGTTG